ATTATTATTATTATTATTATCACCCACAGCTCCCACTTTCTGTTTGCTGACCCATTTTAAGCCTGGGATTCTGTGTTCGTTCTATCCAACTTTCAGTCTAAAATGGTCTTCTGATACTTTAGCTTTTGCTCGCGCCTTCTGTTCCGTTACATCTAGCCGGATTCCTTACCAGAAGCCTATCCCTTCAGAATGCTTGAGCATCCTATGTGCTGCCGCTCTCTGGAGTGTCTTTTTGCTTCCATGGAATTTTAAAAACCCCGATATTGCGTCCCCTTTGTCGAACTCCTTAACCGCCTCCGAAAGAGCTCCGTTATTAACGCTTTCCCCAGGGCATGAATGAATTGCCCATCCCGTATTTTCAACCTGTCTCATGTGAACAATTACAACATATTTGGCTCTTATCCCCATTTTTGTGCGCAGTTTAAATTAAACAGAATTCTCAAAAAGCGCCAAAGCTTTTCAGTATCTACTTGTTCCTTCGATGTTTTATTTCCTGATCTTGATGGTGTGAATTTTTCTGGATGCCTCTATTTTTCCTCTGTTTTCGGATGTTTCTCGTGTTAGCTATTCTCATTCAGTAATAGCCCCATACGACATTCTGCAGAAATACGTATGTTTTAAGTGTGTTCGCCAACCTCTTCAAGTGCAAATCTGTCACGCAATGGGCATACTGGTTGACTTTCAGCATTCTCTCCATATCTGCCTCAGTTGCACATGATTGCATTATTGATTCTGGGATTTTGTGCAATCTCACCTTGACTTTCCATAAAACGGCGATGTGCCTGTAGTTGTCTGTTCATACGGCACACCGAACACAGTCAGCTTGTTCGAGAATAAATAGCTCATTTGCAAAAGCTATGGACTACTAAGAAATGAAGTTTCCGCGAAGCTGCTGGGCTATAGCTAGTTTTCGTTATGCTTGAAAGCCCTTCACGCTTTACGAAACCAAAACCACCTTTGAAACAACGGGAGCCAAAGTCGTGGACTATCAGATAAACCTCTTCAGGGCTGTAGCTATGTGGGATTTACTACAAAAGAGGTCAGTCTTTACAGGTGAAATATAAGCCGCTTCAAAGGAAACAAGTTGTGTTGATACGCCGAGAACCTTCATTACTAGGAGAAAAGGTTAGAGGCATGGTGTCATGTGATAAAACCGTTGACAGCAATGCGTGGCTGTCTACGACAGGACGTAGCATACAGCATGGTCCGAGGAGCAAACGACTCCACCACAAACCTTCTAGTCCAAAGATGCATTCAAAATTAACTCTGGTAGGTGAGATGGCAAGGACCTGCAATGCACCGGTGGTTTAGGTACATTCAAATGGATGGGTTATGGAGAGACAGCTTGCACATTGCTAACAACCTATTCTGATAACCATGCAAACCGATCTCCCTGAAGTATTACTCATTCGAGCATTGCGTGCATATTACTTGACACCACGTTGCTGTATAGTGTAGGTATGTTTTGGCAGATTTATGAAACCCTCTATATTATGCGCATGTGACATGTGCCAGTGACTCTGGGGATAAATCGCTTCACAACGCGAGCCAATTAAGTGCGACACCTCTGGAGACGGTCATTGAAACGGCGCTTGTACCTCTCCACGTGCGTTTCAATATTTGATGTTATCCATGTTCAGCGCAGCAGCCACAATATGCATCACACTAGCCTCAGCAACTGGGAGCAGCTCTCCATGGGCTATTCCCCGGAGAACACTAGCCATATGATCCACAAAATCCCTAAGCTTCTTGAGAAGTGAGCTTCGTTAACGGGGTAGCTGCATGTACGCAGGACTGAATTTGATGGAGCTACACGCAAGTACATCAGATGCATCGTAAAGATACCCCAAAGATGTTACTAGAACAGGTCTCGGTCAGGCAGCCCTCATTAAAAGGTACAAGGGAGTCAGCGAAATGAGAACAGACGCCGGAAATTGAACCAAGGGCTATGTAATCAAGATATATGGAAGCCAACAGAAAGAACGATTGTAGACGCGTCCGTCACTATGCAAAGCCTCAGGCTTGGCTTCTGCTGTGCGGTGTTGAAGTGATACAAATAAGGGCAGCTGCTTAACTCGAAAGTCACGCGGGAAATGGCGAGATCATTTATCAAAACCGGGGCCGGCCTAAAACAAAAACTGCAAATTTTTCTCCATTCGCAGATGCTTAAAGTGTTACCACTTGTCCTATTGTAGGCATCCCATAAGATATCGGAATCCTTGTATTAAATATTTTCACCCGCTCTATAAACTATAGAATCGTCCTCTCCCAGTGGAAGAAATCTATAATCCACCCGCATTTTAAATCCGGATGTAGACAAACTCCTTCCAACTACAGGAGAATCCACCATACCTCCCTCCTACTGAGAACCCTTGAACGTCTCTTTAAAAGCCCCTAGGTTTCTCCTAGCTACAAACGCTATAGATGACCGACAGTACGGATTCATATCTCAAAGATCCGTAAATGGCTGCCAGCTTCACTTCTTTGAGACCGTCACAACAGCCTACGGCGCTGGACAATCCATCGTAACAGTCTATCTTGACATCCAAAAAGCCTTCGACCAGGTCCTCCACGCCACCCTGCTACACAAACTAAGTACCGTGGGCATCAATGAAAACTTATTTCAGTGATTTGCCTCCTACTTATCAGACAGGAGGCAAATAACGCAAATTGGGGACATACAATCATCTCCACTACCGATCACTGGCGGGGTTATCCAAGGAAGCGTGCTAGGCCCCATACTTTTTTTACTGTACATCAATGACATCTTCGCCGCCATATCCCATGGTAAGACTTTCCTCTTCGCGGACTATTTAAAAACCGCGTACACATTCTCTCCTCCCAAAAGGCCCTGGCTTTTCACCAGATTAAGCAAGACTTAGATTCACTGACTAGCTGGACAAACAAATCTGGCCTAGGCTTCAACTCTGCAAAATCCTGTATAACTTCCTGCCACTGCTCCAACCAGACTGACGTTTTCACGATCACCGGAAATCCTATCGCCTATTCCATGGAGATCAAAGATCTCGGCCTCCGAACCTCCTATAATTTTAGGTTTCCCCACCATGCACAGTTCCAGGATGCAAGAATACGCAGGCACAACTATTTAATACTGCGCTCCTGCCACCTTCCAGACACAATGGTAGCAATCTTTAAGCTATGCGATGATGATTTGCCCCACGAAACACTCCCAAACACAACATCGCGCAACGCTTCTGCTCGACATGCCAGCCCACACCAACGCTCCGAGGCCGTCTAGCCACGGTGCAGTCGCCACGAGTATCAAAATTTCAGTCCCATCGTTTCATTGACAACTGCCATTTCACTTCTCCTCCGCGACTTGCCTCTACCAGCGTCTGTATGCTGTTTGTCTGTTCGAATTTACTAGGCTGTCTTTACTGGCTTTACATTCCTCCGACCAAAAATGGTACCTGGAGTATTTATTAATGCATAAACCGCACTTATGACTGCTTGGATGGTTTTCCACCTTGCAGATCTGGTAGCATGCACGAGGAAATAAAACCTTGTCTGGTGGACGGATACGCCCTGCAGGGAGGGTCGACCTGTTGCGTTGCACCATGGTGCGTTCGTATACCCGTCACCCCTCCAGTAGCGCGGGTGCATCGCCCATCGCCGGTGGTTCTGAGTCCGGAAATTAAAAATTAAAAAAGGTACGGTTGACTTCTGTTTGTTACTGGTGTTGGGCTCGCCTCGAGTGAGTTATGCATCTGGCAATGCCATGAACCACAGATGAATAAATTGGCCTCTCACCTGTGCAAAAAAACAATAAAAAAGTTCACTTGAGATAGCCCAAAGATACTCTGCAATTGCCCATTGCCTACATCGGCGCGCATAGCTGTGTCTGCCTTCGTCACAACAGATGCTACACCACACCAAAGCCCATTTCGTCACCCAAACTGAGAATACATCTACTCACCGCTCCCAGTGATAGACACTGACTAGTGTTAGATACTTGCTATGCACCATCTGCAGATTAGAGCTGATAGCGGTGCTTCGGGGACTAGTGACTATCACTCTTGCACACACTTTCTCTACTGGTATAACCCAACTCATGTAATAAACACCAGATCAGCCAGCTATTTAAGAAGTCCACTCCCGCCAGCCTTTATGCATCTGATTCCCATACCACGCCTCTACGCGCTTTTATCGGCTTTTACTAGACCCCTTGCAATGTAATAGCAAACTCGACTCTTGGTTGCTAGCCTCCTAAGTACAGATTTATCTATTTCCTACTCCATATAATCACTAGTCGTTCCCCTAATTGCAGCAGGCGTCAAGTTTTTTCCCCTGTGTTTATTAATGCATATTTTCCCCGCAAATTCACCATTTTTTGCGAATCTCCTCCCATCCCATCACATTCCCATGCTTTGAACTTCGGAAGTACCTGTTTTGAACGACCTGGTTAGCTGATACCCACTCCACCTGGCCTATGATCTACAACTCCGGGATTGCCAAGCGGACCAAGAAAACCTACAATCCCATGTCGGTTTCGTTCCAGCTTGTTTCCTCGACCAGGCTGAAATGAATACCGCTGCTCAATGAACTGCACATCCCCAGCTGAATGATCTCAAATGCGACGTCCATCACGGGGTTGTCCAAAAACTGAAGCATGCCGGGCCAATGATGGCGTGGCACTGCCATACTCAGTTTGATGGCACACCCGCAACCGTTCCATTCCTCCTCCCAAACGAGCCCACTTGCCTATGTGGTTCATTGACCTCAACCACCACCATGACATTCATTCCAACCTGATGGACTTCTCATTCGAATCCAACCACCTTTGTGTCTTCACCCAACCTAACCCCAGCGCCTAACTTTCCTAAAACAGTGCACCAGAGAGTCCTGCTTGTTCTCAGATTGCGCCATATTTTTGAGACTAAACTTGCCACGTTCTCCCAGTTCGAATTAGCGCATCTCCACCTCCACTTTATCTCGTTGTAACTCCGGCCATTTACCCAACCGCCCAAGGTTACTCGTGGCCAGCAGTGGTTTTCCAGTTTTAGTTCATGTCAACCGATTGAGTCTTTGAATTAGTCGAGCCTCATGCCCATTGTTCCCAACAAGTTGCGAAAGAAACCTGTTATTATTATTTCATCGAATACTCCTCACTGTTCATAACGTTGTCCCCATTTCGCGGAATCCCCACTAACCGCAAATCCCCCATTCACATGCCCCACTCTGACTGTAAACGCATGATCGTGCCCGAAGGTATGCCACCCACAAGTTGGGAAATAAACATCATCATTATCATTATCGTTATCATTATCATTATCATTATCATACTCGGACCAGATTGTAATGGAACACGCACATAGATTGCGGCACACCTGGCTTTGCCTCCGCAACTGCGTTGGATCATCGACGTTCACCAACTAAACCGGTCTATTCCTTAGAGAGCGATGGTTGACATTTGAGGAGCTGTGAACGCAGGCGCATGGAACAAATAATCCGGCTAGCTCATTGAAGAAAATTTAGGATTTATGTAGAATTGAATGAGGGGTTAACAGCAAAAGCGGCTTAATAATTATTTTTCATTCTCAGCTGATGCATTCCATGCCGCATATAATTTCATAATAGCACAGTCGGAAAAATGGCACAATAAACAAAGGTTTTATGCGCTGGATGTGTAGGATGGGGGGACCTTCGTAACTGATCACGTCAGTAAACGGTCGGACCAAATATGACACGATAAAGTCAGGGGAATTAGAACGGGATAGGCGTTGTTGCGGCAAGAGCAAGAAGTTATGGCTGAGGGAGAACTAAATAATTGAATTACAGGAACATATTTTCCATGTATGGTATACATGCAATTTTGTAATATCAACTGTGAGCATGAGCCGTTGTAAAAATTTGATGATCTCGAGTGTCATAAGCGGCGGTGGCAGCCGGAGCCACTGATAGAAAAATGAGGGCGACGGACCAAAAGTTGGTTAGAGTGGTGGCAAAGAGGGTTTCTGCCCAGTAGAAGACCAAATACAACAAACAAAATCACTGGTCCCGATGAGCGTAGCCAAGCTTTGATCAGGCTTAATAAGGGGGTACGCGCTACTATTTTGTAGAACCGGATGGTGAACATGGAAGAAAAAGTTCAGTAAAAAGAGATAAGATCGCACTTGGATAGCCAGCAAGTTAAGTTTGGGAAAGGGTGTGCAGTTAGTCGAGAGTGCACTTGTAGCGGGAACCGGCGGGTATATTTGTTGTATGTATAAGTAAGAGGCTTGACATGTCCAACGGCCCGAAAGAGAGAAGTCAGCTGGGGGCTAAGAACATGCATCTTATATCGAGATGAAACTAAACAGACCAAGAATCATATTGTGACAAGTCGCTGGGAGCGTCCTGAACGCGAGTAGGTGTCAAGTATATAATGGGGATTCGCGTGCACACGGAAAGGAATGTCCGTTCTCGTCGATCCTAAGGCCCAACTTGGGCACGGACTATTCGGTTGGTTGGTCACAATGTTGTATGACATGTGTTAGGTGTCGCAAACAATCTCTGGGGCCACCACATGGTGAGCTTTCCTAAAAGACCAGTGCATAAGACAACTTGCTCTCCCTACACGAAAATACTCGAATATCTGGAATGGACACCCCGGGCTTTAAGGTATATTTGTGGTGTTACCATTTGGATTGTGAGTACCTCACTTGCAAGTAACCCACCTTGGGAATTTTTGAGTGTGGTATGAACCTTTGTGAGACCTTCAAGCACAGTGATCTAGTGCTGCATTTTAGTATGACAGCATTGCATTTCTCCTGAAGGATTGAAGTATGTGCCTATAACCCACAGCGTGAAAAAGTTTAGGATGCCTCCCCTTTGTTGTTCCAGATCCACCTATCAAAATATTAGCAGTACAATTGATGTAAAGAACACTGCGTCGACTATCAAGAAATGCTCAGTCTGATAAACCAGAAATAATCTTTCCCTTGCTTAGTTCTTTTGCATAAACACGCGGCGCCCGCAGCCTGGTCTTTTCCTGAGGGGGGACTTGGATTGTTTTGGCAGTGGCTAGCGTATATCGGCCGCCAAATTGCGGTAAATGTGAAAAGATCTAGGAGGCTTGGCTTTTCCCCGCCCGAGGGGAACAACATAGGATAAAGCCTCATGAAAACATCATAGCGTCACCAAGTTTCCGATCTATTAAGCCGGCTGTCATTAGACAGTCCGCCGTGCGACGAGAAAGATGAGTTAAATTATCCCCGTAGTACCCAATTTGTTTTGTCAGAAGTCGGGCTCTCCGTTCCACACTGCCACTGGAAATAACGGGCGCGAGTATTATATATTCATATTTTGTCTAATTGCCTCCAACCGCCGTGCTTTCCGGTTTAGCTTGCAGATAATTTTCATCTGACCTTTTCGGTTTACTGAAGAATTTTTGGTAGCCTTTTATAAAACCTGCGTTGAATGATAGGTGTTACAGGCATATGAGCCATAACTCATAGGTTCATCAACTAAATGGCCTTTGTTTCCTTTTATTTAACGCGGTCTTCATTCATAGGTTCTGATGCGCATTTCAACCTAATGATGCCCCCCATGCTGTTATGTATGAGCAAGCTTTTGGTTTAAATTTAGGAAGGGGCTTAGCAATTCCTCACTAAGTGATAGCACTTCATCTCCTCTGAGGCGCAAAATAATTGTATGAGAGATAAATATAACATATTCGGGCCGCGGAGGGCAAGTGAGAAGCATACCTCCATGGCAGCAAGGGTGTGTTATTTTAGCAGGCAACCCTACTAACGTAGCGTAAGTCGTGAATTATAACACCAGGTTTTTTCACAAAATTTTCAGTGAAGTATCGATTGGAAAATAAGGAGGATGAGCGTGCGATTCGGGTGAAAAAATTACGAGAAACACCAATGGTCCGGTCAGGTTTCACTTCAGGATCTACGGGGACTACCTGCCAGATATCACAATCTTTTTCGCAACCAAACGACAACCAAATTGATCACCCTAAAGTCCGTGGCCGGCCAAGTGGCGGTCTTTAGTCTGCAGCGTCTTCCTGATTTGTGAACCATCTTACCGATAAACGCGGTAATTTGTGGTCGATGAGTTTGCGGCGATCCTTACTACTCAGGATATAAACTAACACCGCCAAGTGTATCAGAAAGCTCTTTTATTCAATTATGTTACGCCTTTGGTTCTGACTAGGTTTTGGGATCGAAAAAGCGTGCTGGCAATGACATCAAGGGAGCCCCACTACAGCCATGTATGCTTCTTTAGGGTGCGGCGGGCCGTTATATAGGGGATTCTCAGGCGTCGCAAATGTAAAATAAATATCCCACCAGCGACTCTAATCAATCGTTTTGTAAACAACTCCTTTGTGAGACATGGTTTGGGGGCCTTATACATTCCCTATCAAAGATGAGGCTGTCCCGGGCCTACGGATATGTATGCTTTTGAGGAACTTGGTCATTTTGCTGGGGCGACTTTAGACAAAAATATTATTGAATGAAAATTTCCCTGATAAAAAAATGGAAGCAGTACTGATTTTCCACTCGCAAATTTATATCACACTATTTTTACACACAGAGCCATTAGGAAGCATTTTCCCACTATACAAAGTTTCCGTATTTCGGTTGTACGAGTTTCACACCATCGGCCAATGCATTTCGCCCCCATAGCTCTACTGAACAGTGTAGCAGTGTAGGTTTTCATTTCCTTCTCCCTAAAAGCTCAGATGTTTCGTCATCGTCCGGACAAACCACACGCACGTGAGCTAGTTGTATCAGGCCACACGGTGCTAGGGAGTTTACCTACCTCCCGTAAGTGGGTCTGACTTCGCGGACCTCGCCCTGCAGGGCTTGTCGTGCAGGTCAGCTGGATTCCCTTAAGCTTGATACCGTTGTCAACATAGGGCGCAGTTGCATCCACTATTATTCGATATCTGGAAGCGGAGTGCAATTTCTTCTGAATAGTTCCTTCCACCACTTTTCTGGCAAAGAGAAATTGGTATTGTCTCACCTTTGGTAACATAAAATCCTGACGACGACTTAATCGGTTCGCTTAATCTAATTTTATCTGGATGATACGGGGAGGGATTGTTGGAGAAGTCACCGAAGGAAGTGCTTCAACATATCAAGGTGAACCGAATCCTCGGAGGTCCGACAGCGTCAATACTCCGGTGTCATGGTGGCTGACTGCAACTCCAGACAACATTCACGTAGCCGACGCTAGTTAACGAAACAAGTGTGACAGGGAGTAATCCGCAGTCCGTCTGAAGCAGATAGCATAGGTCTCAGGGTCGGGTAGACGTGCGGTTTTTATGCGGGTCCCTATGCGTAGTCGTTGGACCTGGCGCAGAGATGCGAGCCTGATCTTACAAGCCATACAAATCTCAGCTAACCACACTAACTTCCGGGTTACACAGTCGACGCCGGGGGGGGGGATTTTCGCATTTATTGTTCCCCAGGTTGTGATAGTTCGTTGATGCCAATCCTTATCCGACATTGAGATGTTTCATCAAAGCCAATCAAGCGTGCACCAGAAGTTCACAGAAAAGGGAAACGTGGCGAAATTTATCCTTTATAATCGCCGCTGATTCCGACTCCGGGGGGGGGGGTGGATTTTCGCATTTATTGTTCCCCAGGTTGTGATAGTTCGTTGATGCCAATCCTTATCCGACATTGAGATGTTTCATCAAAGCCAATCAAGCGTGCACCAGAAGTTCACAGAAAAGGGAAACGTGGCGAAATTTATCCTTTATAATCGCCGCTGATTCCGAGACTTGTTTTACTTCCGCTGGAAAATGACCCGCTTGCTTGGGCAGGGGGGCCGATTAGCCGCAGAATGCTCTCAGCTGCGAAACCTTTACAAGTGGAGTGAAACTTTTGCGCCAAACTGTTGCATTTTGTTGCGTATGTGCTCAAACCAAAAATCACTCCAACTTACTTTCAAATTTTTACATCTCATCAAACCACATTATCCATTGAAGCAATCATGCCTCTGGCGCAAAAGTCTAATGAAATAATTTCTACGTATAGCCGAGACCCGGGGATGTCCAAATGAGGCTCAAAAGGTTGTGCTGGTACTCTGAACTTAATTGCCCGATTGCTTAAATCCATCAGGGGCACGTCATAGCTCTCGAAAATTCAACTCAATTGTGTGAACACTGAGAGCCTTTGGGTAGTTTGGCGTTCAGATCACCTTATATTTCCTCAACAAGTAGTCACTTTTATTGAGACGTCTGGGTTCTGTGTGGAAATCTAAATAATCTAGAGGTGCGTGATACGAAGTCTGGGAAGACCGAACCCTCCAAACACACTCACTGCGTCTTCAAGGTCTCAGCTCTTTTGAAATTGCTTTGTGTTATCGCGCCAACGCAGGTAGAAATGTGTTGCACCGAAGCAGCGCAGTGTTCCTTTCCACCTTTAGCAACACGCGTACAAATACTTGCATAATGATAACGTTTCTCAACTCCATTAGAAGACGTGGTGTGGCATTGTGATGGAAAACAACGTAGGGAGCTCATTCAACTCCCGCTACGTATTGCCGAGTTTTAGAGATCCCTATTTTTGTCCATTCCCGGAATTCCTGGTGTTACGGGTAAGAAAGTTATTGTCATGCTTCACGAGCGGATAACCGAAGGATGGTACGGAGCCGGAATGGCCGGGATTTCATAATGGTTGTCAGCCTACACGATACACTCAAAGGTCGTCAGTATCGTAAAGAAGAAGGAAGGTGAAACACCACCGGAGGACTTCAAATATGATTTCGAATTATTCTAAGGAGGTTTTCTGTGGCTAGCTGGGGTTACACGCTGCAACGTACACTACAGGGGCTCCGTCCAGACATGGTCCTTGAGGATGGTGGGAAGCCGTGGAAAGCAGTGATACCTCTCTGGACGAAACTGACTGCAGCGAAAACGAATCCTTTCATTCAACATTTTTATGTAGTTGAAAAGAAGCGACCCATGGTCCACTAGAGTGGTGGACTATATCAGCTATAGAAGTTTGAGGGGGGAGTGAGAATAAATGGAGATACGGATCAGTTTAACTCAGGAGGACTCGTAGGTACAGATGAGAATATCTCCTATCCGGGATTGCAAAAATTTAAACACCAGCAAGTTTGGATAGTTCCAAGAACAAAGTGGCAAACGAAGGCGCGTCACTATTCATTGGAAGGATTATCTGGACGGTTAAAGCCCATGTAGTGTTAGTGGTTTGCTTTTCACGCCCGGAGAGTGCTGAAGCGTCTGTTGCACTCATTATCCGGCTTACTTCCCCCAGGAGCTATGGAAATCATGCCTTCCCCCCCTATATTCTCTGGTGCTGATGAAAACCCAGGCCGCATTGAGCATCAGTGACAATCGTAGCACAAACGCAGCTAATTAGAAAACTGTGGAAAGTGAGCATCCTAATAACCCACACTTGACAACCTGAAATTCCGGAATTGGCCAGCGCCGCCTAACGGGTGCCATGAAACCTACTAGTGAAAAGGAATTGTGACATGGTTTGAAGTCATTTTCAGACGAACATTTATACACTATGACGATCTGTTCCGTAGAAACGTTTATCAATCTCTGCAAGTGGTGCACCCTGAGTAGAGAAAGTGAGCCAAAATCGCGACCACGGGCAACATACAGAGCCTATTTCAAATACCGGAGGAACGGTAAGCATGATACTACAACCAGTAAAATACTTTGGAAATGTTTTAATCAGTCTAAGAAAACAAAATCTCGCAATCCCTAGTTAATCAAAATTTGAAGGAACCGTCCTACAAGTAAATCAGTCGGAAACTGTGAAAAGCCAATGAAAAGCCTTCTTTGGGGAATGAACGGCAGAATTGTGAAAACAGCTAAGGACGATAGGTGCAAAAGAATTTCATCCGAATTCATTCAGATTCTGTAACGCTTCAACAAATGGAAGATACTGAACCTGATGGCTTCCCATCCGCCCATATTATTCTACCCGATTAACCCTTTGGCATCAGACCTTGTCATCATCTATAGCTAGGCGACTAAAGGTGGCCTCGTTCTTTCAGCACGAAATGAAACCAACATAAAACCATTGTACATGGATGGTGACAAACCAAATCACATCAACTGTCAACTATTCAGCTTCGCCGTGGTCACTAGAAAAGATAGACTGAAAGACTTCTGCGCAAGCATACCATAAAAAACCATCCGCAACCAGAATGCAGCAAGAATTCCTAACCGACCAATTACGTATCATATACTTATCACCAGATGTCAAACTTTGGGTAGGATTAGATGGTCAGGATGGCCAGGTGGCTTTGTTATTCATGAACTTTAGTAGTATGTTTTTAGAGTACAATTAGGCAGTCTCTTAAACCATATCTAGGACCATTGTCCCTATGACCTCAATGTTAGACAGCCGACTTTTTAGGAAGCCAAAACTGTAGTGTCTAGTTGGATAAACAGGTTTCTGACTGACTGGGGAGATTCAGGCACTAGTATCAGGACACAGCCTGCTCAACATGTATTTTGATATACTACATCGAGAAGTAGAGCAAGATTGCACAGTATTTGATAATGACTTGATGACTCGGCTTAGTATACTGGCGGGTTAAAATGACAAGCTTGTTGGAAGTACCCTGGACAGAGTCAAAAGTTCGGCGGGAAGGCCAAACCTGTAAGCCATGTTACATATTAGTACATATTCGTATTTAAAAAATCTAGGGGATACTTACCGTTTTGTGGCAAACCAAACAAGCACCGCCAGAATTTAAGGTTTATATAGGGGTTGTAACGCTTTGCGGTCTCAATAAATATGCGCACAAAATTGGACCTATTGCTGTGGAACTTCCAAATTTAAACCAAAGTAATTGGGCCCGAAGCTAGCAGCGTTTATTCAACTTACCCTGCAGTAGAGACCATCGGCGTATTTATCATGTGTGGCTGGTAATTAGTCGCAAGTTTAGCGTGTACAGAGACTGGCGCGTGAGCCAGGTCTAGTCTCAAAAAATCCCAACATCTCTTCCGATTACACAAGCAAACGTTTCTAGGCCATTCAATTGTCAGTTATCTTAACTGACTGCCAATTAAAAATGAAATAAACAACGCAGTGCTAAATCCACAAGATCCATTCCAAATCGGAGCTTTCGACATTTTAACTCTAAGTCAAGTTGGCAAACCGGTGCCGTTCAGTGAGACCTCATAATGCCTTAGAAGTGATGTATACTGTGTCTACACAAAACATACCAGACTCAAGCGTGATTATGCACCTCAAAACAACAAGGACGAACCCAGGTTTTTCACACTAATCCGTCCTTGTCCGGTGATCCGGAAGAGATGACTCGTGGAACGTATGACATGGGAGTTGCACTCAGCTTCAGAGCTGAACGTGCTTTGGTGGATTAAATCCCAATAAACAGTTGAATTTGGGCCGTCCAGTTATCCAGCTCAATCAAGCTTAGCGCTTCTCAAAGTGAAAAGGTGTTTGTCTGTAGTACCCACATATGACCCAAAGGACTGTTGTTGTGACGCTGAGAAGGATGCTTTCTATCGAAGGTTAACCAAGCTCATTCGTCAAGCAAGAATCACTGACAATGTGATAATCGCTGGCTATATGAATGCCCAAGTGGGTCGTGTGAGCTCCCAGAAATCACATCTGGGTGGTTAATTTGGAGTCAACGCTCGTCGCATAGACAACGGAGAATGACCCATCCAGTTATGCACTGATCATCTATTGTTTCTGACCGATACGAACTGTCATAATAAGCATCCGCTTCATGTAAACTAAGGCCACTAACTGCAGACACGGCATGACTCTAGTTGACTCACGTGGCCATCAACCACCGGTGGAGTACTACAATTCAAGACCACCATTCCTTCTGTAGAACACAGCTTAATTCCGATCAAGCAATTGTGCGCGCACACCTGATGGTTAGTTTCTTCTCACACTCTAGCAAGTCAGCAAGAAACATGTCAATCCACTATGTTCAAAGAATTACCATGGCTCAATAGTACCGAACTGAGATAGCCCAACAGCTCTCCGCAGTGAACCAATACGGTGGTGGCAGTGAGCATGTGGATGAAGCGTGATAAACTGTGAAGGGAACTGTGTTAGCGGCGTTCAGTGCTGTCTATCCGACTCCTTCGATTCAACCACAAGACCAATGGACATCTCCGAAATCGTTACCCAAGATTTATGCCAGAAAAGCCATACCAGCGGGCAATGAGTATGACAGCGCACGGAAATCTCTTAAATGCCAAATAATGAAGGGTTTAAGAAAAGACCGAGAACTTTGGTTGACGTGGTAAGCCTGAAGAATGGAGAAGATTTTTGCTACCGGAAACAACCATGCTCTGTATCAACTAACACGATCGATTGGCCATATGAGGGAAACGTCCAATAAAAGAGGTAGCTCAGTAGTCCACTTGCAAAATCGTTTACTGGAAAGATGGGTAGAACGCTTTGAAGAATAGTTTGGCTGGCCTCCCGCAACAAAACCTCTATGGACAATGCATATAAAAAATAGAATTTGAATCTTAATTACCTCTCAAAAGGAATAAAACAAGAAATACCCACAATGTAACGTGAGGGGGAACCGGGACCGGATGGTCTGTATGCGGCCTTCCTCAAAGAAGGCCGGGAATTCATGGTGACCCATCTTACGAAGCTTGTTGGTGCTATATGGGGTGAAGATAAGGTGTCCGGGAAATGCAGCACATCAACAGTTATTTTTCTATTAAAAAGGGCACTTAGATGCTGCGTGGCACCAGGTGGATAGCTGTGGCATTGAAGGTGTTCTCTGGTCGTATCCTCCTAGGGTTGACTGAACAAAGCCAGAGACAGACCCGTGAAAAATACCTGGGTTTCGTCCTATAAGAGGATGCATCGATCAAATCTCAACCCTCCGGCAGACTCTGGAACAGCTACAATGCTTTCAGTAACCAGCAACGGTTGTATTCCTTGACTTAAAAGCTCCATTTGACTCTGTAGACCGTCAAGCACTGTGGCAGTGTCTATGGAGCAAATCTCCCATAAATTCCTTGACTTAAAAGCTCCATTTGACTCTGTAGACCGTCAAGCACTGTGGCAGTGTCTATGGAGCAAAGTTGTCTCCCATAAACAATTGACCCTCCTTAAGACACTGTACACCAACTCCCACAAACATATGAAGGTCTACGGGAAACCCTCATTTGAGTTCACCACATTGAGTAGTGTCAAGCAGGACTGTCCTCTTTCAGCTTTGATTTTCCACTTTATCATTGATGCGATTATGGAAGACTAAAGCCTGTGGAATGGAAGTGCTCCTGGGACGTCCGCTCACAGATACCCAGTAAGCAGACAACACAGCTCTTCTTCGATCTGACGCTGACGTATTGCGAACAACATTACACAATATGAATAACTTTGCCTCACGGTTTGGCATTGGCTGCCCACCCACAAAGCGTAGAGTGCTGCCTCAAGACTTGATGGGAGCGAACCCTGGCTTCATGTTTGTGGATAAGCCGGTTGAACTAGTAGACTAGTTTGTCTGTCTGGGCAGCTGTATTAGTCCCGGTGTTCTCATGGAAGATGATATTTTCATCCGAAGTGAGAAGGCCAGAGCAGCATTCGTGAACATGTATCATCTGTGGCAGTTTATCTGTCAAGCTTTGAGCTTGCAACAATACGGTGAGCTCCATAATTAAACGGGACAGAAGCCTAAGGCCCTGTACTGAGGATGTCAAAAGACTTTCAGTGTTTGATCATCAGTGTCTTCACAGCATTGCCCGAGTTTGGTGAGAGCATTGGATCAGTCGCACCGTTTTCGCGAGAAATGACTCACCCACGATAGATGAACTGGTCATACTGTGTAGGTTGCGCTGGCCTCGCCAGTTGCTTCGTACGCGGTCAACTGACTTCTGCAAATGGCTCCTTTTGCACTACCACACTAAGGGAAGGTCAAACAATGGCAAGCATGAAAGCCACTACCAGCTAATTCATCTACGCTGGTTACTGCCTTCTCATGGAATGGGGATTCCGATATCGGACACATCAATATTTAGAGACATTATCAGACAGTCGCACCTTTAGTGGCTCTCGTACATCCAACCTATTGCCTTCAATGCACAGCTATTTTCCCAATCTCTCAAATGAGGAATGCACCGAAAACCCAGTATCTAGGCAACAATTATGTTAGCTACCATCTGCAGTGCACAGCTATCAAGCTAACTTCCGTGAATCATCGATGAATGAAACTGTTTCGGCTTTAATCACTGTAGGACAAGTGCGCCGTTTTTGCAGCTAATGATGATAATGATGATGATGAAGATGTGACTTCAAGATCAATGATCCGTGCACGGTGACGGCTCGAAGAGTAAAGATAAGGCTACTGGATACTTCAAGCAGAGAAATAAGACAGAATGAATGTATTCCTTTCGTCCCTTTCTGGGAGTAAGAAGATCAGGGAATGGCCTTAATGACACGGTGAAGGTAACTATGTGGTTTTCCTCGTTCATACACTGCGTGGACCTTCTCCTACGACAGGGCCTCCATGGGCAATCGCAAACTTTAAGGAAAATGCACTGTCCAGGGCAGGGCTTTAACTCACTGCTGATGAATATGTATGATAATGACGATCAAACTCACTAAATTCATTTTTGGCCAAGGCACTGGCTCCTGACTTTACAAATGCCGAGTGAGATTCGATGAGTTTTTCTCATGGTCAAACTCTGTAACACTGTGACAACATTCGTATCCTTTAATGCCAGGCTGGGTGTCATAACTTAATGAGATTTCTCAAAACGTCTATGTTGTTGCTTTGGTGTGCATTAAAACTATGGTTTCCTCTCTGGTGTGCCTGAGATTTCAGACCTAATACTGGCATAACTTGCTTTAGTTTGTCTATCGTTTTCATCTCGATACATCCATTCCAATTTCCTCAGGTTGTTGGTTGGTTTTAACTGATTTTTCTAACCTTACTGTCTATGCGCACAAACATATAGGGACCCCAGATAAACCTGTTTGTCTCAAAAATTGACAGCAACTTCGAATAAGGAGCAGTTCTTGTTTTGTCTTGTGCAGGATGACATATTTACTCTAGATGAATTGGCGTATCAGTGCTTCCTGCGGGATACCTATTACCTTGTCATTTAAGTAAGAATGTCAAATAGTGTTCTGGCATCCAAAAAGAGTCAAAAAGATGTTGGCATGAAGTTGAAGCAACCTTATTCTAATCATTTTACCGGTGCTTTTGCGGCATGTGGAGGTGAGCACGCTGATGGTCCTCGTAATAATAGTTTATCACAATGTTTTAGAATGAAAGCGGAAAATTCGGACAGATGTCAGTGTTACGTAACATGCCATGGAGAGAAGGGGTATCAGCTGTTTACAATGTGACCAAATATTAAGATGGTCATCATATGCAATCATGTAAAATATCAAGATATATTTATATGCATTTTGTACATCAGTTTCCACTGAGCCCAGGAAGCACATCCAGGAGTATTTCCAAGCGTATCAATAACATCATAAATTCCGATGACACATGTATACTTTTACCACTGAGGTTTAAGAATCATAGTTGGAACAGGTTAACACACGAATTTTCAACGACATTATCCAGAAACGTGCTTTACCCTGGGCATAAGTTTTCACTTGTGAACTGTATACTCCGCTATAAAGTGCGCTTGCTCGGTCGAGTGCCAACCAAGCCGAGCGTTTTTATACCGAGGGCAGGGTTGATTTTCATTCTAAGTTCAAGGTTGCACAACTAGAATCTGGGGAAATTATTGCATGACAAGAGTGCGTGAAAGAGGAATGAGTGAATACTTTTGCGGGCAAAGAATGGATGATAATGGTGGCCCACAGTTAAGCTCGTTTTCTTCGTTGAACTTCCACCACTTTCGGGAAAACATTTCATAAAAATGGGATAGGTGTAGGAAAATTTACTCACGGTATGGCGTTCATTTTAGTGTCATTTACGCGGGAAGTTATCGTAGCATTATTATCAAGCAGATTGATGATTTTATGTACGGTTCCTAAACTTCACTTTTAGACAGTCATAAGAAATATGAATTTCTTGTGATGTGCTACTCATAAGGTTGCTGAAAACTCCTCGACAGCCCACAACAGGGTCCACTGTTGTTGGAACTCATCAGGTAGATGCAGTCTCCGAGTTTCCACCAACCGTATGTTCTGCTTGAAAACGAATTGCACGAACTTAGCGAAATACATTCCTCTGCAACCTAATTTGGTTTTTCGAGGGACTCACTTGGAACCCAGCTGAATCTCTCGGTTTCGATGTTTCCTTTGAAGATCAGTCAGATTTTTCTATTATCAACGTCACATCTTCATTTAGTGGAGATCGTCTGTCTTCAGACAATGCACTCTGATATATTTGCAAAAACCCCTATCTTCCCTGGAACATATTGGTTATAAATACAAGATAAAAAAAGTAGGACAAACTTCACTGAATTCAAGCAGCATCTCCAGTTCACAATATTCTACAACTGAATATGCTGTACAAAGGATACTTGACATTTCAGTTGATACAGTGTTCGAGATAACGCAGTAAATTGTCTAGATGGAATACTATTCATAAGGTTGCTGTAGGTTGTTCGACATCTCACGGCTGACTTCGCCCTGCTTGAGACTTACCGCGCAGGCACACTCCCTGATATTACATCGTTTCCTGTGAACCCAAAATGGACGAACTTCCTGAACTACATTCATTTGTACGTTGATTTGTTTTTAACTAGAGACAAGACTGGAAATCACTGACTGTTTATCAATTTGTTCCGAACCAAGGACCTCTAAATCGGTTCAAAGCTTTTTCAATGGACTGAAAACCAAGTTAGTTTAGTTCGCGAATTTCGTACAAGTTGGGCTTAAATAGAGCAACATGTTGATGGAAACTCAGGAACTGCACTAACCTGATGTACCCCAAGACGGATAAAACGGGTAGTGGATTATTCACAAATTATCAGCAGCCTAATGTAAAGCGTGTTCTGTCTAGATGAAAATAACCCTGACTTTCGGTTTATGGAAGTTGAAGATGAAAAATACCTTGACGATAGCCGAAAATTTGATGGATGATAAAAAAAGATCTTGTTACAAAATTCGGACCTGTATTGAGACTACCATTTTTAAGGGAGGAAGCCACTGAAGTTGAATGCAAACCAGAACTAATTCTTCATCTACTGAACCGCAACTCCATCGATCCTTGGGACAATGTACGCTATAGAATAGAGGTGTGGCACACAACATACACTGAACGAACGACTATCCAAACAACGCAGTTTAAGTGGCCTTCTCAAAAACTCTCGCTTTTTAACTATTAAATTTGGGAGTGCCAATTACCTAACTCTTTGTTATGCTCGCTTTTGAATTTAAAGTTCGATGAATAAGTTTGTCACCTGAAGCTTTTTGAACGCCACTAAACAACGATGTCGGATAGACCATTCAATCAGGAAACCGTACTGGTTATTTAACGACATCGAAAGTTTTCATCACACATTAAACTTGCCAAATTCTGCAAGGTTTCGACTTCAAATAGCCACAATTATAAAGGATTGCGGACAGCAACACATGCAGTGTGCGAGGCACGTCATCAGTGTACTCCAGATAGTTTCTGTTTGCTTATATATGGACCAGGCGACCAAATCAGTCCATAACCTTGATGTTGAAACATCAATCGCAATCTGATATCCCCGCCATTGTGCATTGCCACGTTATCTGTTGAAAGATCATGGATTCCATCTGATCTCATGGAATGGAAGGGTGACAATCATTCAATGTGTGAATCAAATATATACGCTTTATTCAAGACACCCGTCTGACTTTTCTACGCAAAAACCGCATGCTAGGAACTCAAAGACAACACAGTAGCCCCAATTTTCCACCCTTCAATTCCTCAGTCACGCCAACATCTGACTAGCGCTTCAGAACTATCGGAAACAAATTGTACTTTGTCAAATTCTTATGTAAGTTTTTCCTATTTTGACATGATCGATATTCACCCAGATATTTTGTCTCATCTTTTTCTATGTACATGTACAGAGTACAGACTGATGTGCAGTCACATAGTTCTTCACTGCTTTAATGCACCCATTTTCTGACGTGAGACAGAGAGAGAGAGAGAGAGCAGGTATTTTGTCTTTACTCCGTCAGAAATTTCGCCTTCATTTCTAGCTTCCTTCCTTTATCTGCACCATGTTTGCTCAATCCGAAAGATGCATACCAATTTCGTTCACGTGTAAACTTTTTGGATTTCCTACCGCTAGGTCTTTTCAATTAGACTGTTCTGGATTCACGCTCAGACAGTTCTGATCAGTTTTTTCACGCTTCAATATGTTATGCATGGTCGGTGTACTTGCCGCAAATCTCGGGTCACTTTTTTTTACTAAAATCTGCTGAACATACAAAAGTGCTTTATTCAGGCACTGGCATGTAGTATATAGTCGACTGCTCGATTGATCAACTGAGAAGGAAACTAAGGCTGCGATAATACCAAAATAGTGAAAAACGTAGACTTTGACCAGCTGTTAACCTGATGAAACAGGAAGTTACCAGTGCACGGGAAGCTACCAAACTCAGCTAGTATCCATGTTGGAGGTAATTTACTAGGGACTGTGATTTTCTCACAAATTTTTCATACCTTTAGACCACAGTGCGAGTTAACTATTCTCTCAGGAGTACATGTAGTTTCGAATACGGTTCATCAGCGTACCACATCCATCTACTTATGAATCCCATAGACTGAAGACATATGCAGAACATGTCTAATCCTCGGAAGCAACACTCTGCCAGAAGTTCCTAATAAACAGGAATTTGAAAAAGGGCTACGACCGTTACTGCGCGTTAATCATAGGTTATCAACACCAGACTTTTAGCTGATGTGCATGCCAAGTAACTTCCATGTGGCTAAGTCAGCTTTCAAACATGCAAACAAAGTGCTTTAAAGTAATGGAATTCTGCCCGTCATTGTTCTCCTTTGGAAGCCCGATAGTATATTCCTATTTGCTTATAATTTTAGCCTGATGAGTAACCTTTGTGCTCATCTTCAACGCAACGGACTGCGCATCTAGCGAAACTAATTTTCAAGACGCTTCTGTGTGACATGCCCACAAACGGTCAGCAAGGTGAGTTGAGGTGCACTATCATTTCATTGTGTTTTCTCTCTAGACAATATGAGGAATGACGGTGCTTTGAAGTCCGTATTGTTGGAGCTTGAATCCAAAAAACAGGATTTGGCGGCTGCAGCAGAACTCGGACGTACACTGCTCGCGAGCAACGAAGAGCTTCAAAGAGAGCACCAGACTGCGCTGGAGGCCTTTCGTCAGCAAATCCACGTACGTTTTTAGAATGTATACCCAGTTCTATGACCACAGGAACTTGAAAATGAGCGTCGTATGCTGCAACTTCGCCTGGAAACGGTGGAAAATGACTATGATTTACAGATCAAAGAACTACAAAACAATATCACTTCTATGAGAATAGATGTCCAGATGCAGAAGAATATGTATCGACAGCTGGAGAACGACAGGCTGTGCACGATTTCCGAACTGACACAACAAAATCAGTCTATGGCTGAACGACTCAGAGTTAATGCAAAAACGGAGGCCCGACTGAAGCAAGAAATCAGCCTACTGAGATCACAATGCAACCAGCGAAAGTCTTCCATGCATGATAACCTTCATTTGCTTGAATCCTTAAGGCAGGAGGTGAGTTGATAATATTTAGTTTCAGAAGTGGATCACCTGGTATATCACGTTATCTGCATGTACTTATTTGAACCATTTGAATCCCAGCTTCCAGTTCTTGTTAATCGCAGAAAGTCAGGATTACTGTATGGCAGATTATCAAATTGCTGTAAACCTAATTATTCCAATATCATTAAATCACAGAGCTCCACTACAGCTGGAGAAACCTGGGTTGAATTTTCTCATTGAGAAACGGAAGATAGTTGGCACCATTTGTGACGTCATGCTGCAGTGCTGTGTAATCAGCGCTGCAGAATTTGCTTTACACTTTAAATCTGTCATCACCTTCCAATAAGTCGACAATGCTTTTAAGCTGCGGAAAACTCAGAAAGCCCTTAAAAGGTATTCAGAACCGAAGGTGTTAGATTACCCCTCCCACAGTCCTTCGTTAATCAGTTCTTTGATCAAAATTGGATTGAATAAATTTATTTCAGGTTTTAGGAATTCTGAAAGTAATGTCTGTCACTACATTGTGACGTGTAGAATGATTGTCAAACAGTGGTTCTCAGTTTGCCGAAATATTGGTAGCTGGGGTGCGTTTACTGGTGGTTGATAATATGGCCATTGACCTGTACTCTGAGCTTGGCAGTTAGCTTGCAGACGTTTTGTCCTCAGCTGAGGAGGCATCATCGGTGCGCAGTTGAGTGGGTACTTCCTCACCTTTGTGCGTTTATATAGCTTTCGAATACTAACTAATATCCTCTCATGTGATTGGCTAGTTCGAGTGTATCTTTCATGTGATCTTTTGAACCCATCCGTGATTTGCGTTGCGTTGTGGTCTGCATATCTCTTATCCCATCGGTTTGGATGGCTCCCTTGGGCGCTTTAGGTCCGTTTCCGATTCGTGCGTTCCCGGTTTGTGTTGCATTCTGGTATCTCTTTCTTGAACTTGGCTAACTTTTTTCTTCAGTCTGATTTGTCCTTTCCTAGTTCGTATTGTAGTCTCATCTCCTTGCGTTCGATTAGTCGGTTGTACCTCCCCGTTTGATGTAGTTTTTCCTCTTTCTCGTATTGGCTTGTTTGTTTATCCTCGAAAAGATAATTTGATGCCCTTTTTGTTGAGTTGTTCTTTATCCTTCTCCGATTTATCGTTTCGATGCTATTGTGCGTGTTATAATTAAAAAAAGTTTAGTTAAGTCTTCATCTATGAAATAATGTGCGTACCACACGCCACCGCAGTCGTCTGGATTCATCTCTGTTTGATTGTTCTAGAGCACTTTGAAGGACCCTATGAATCCTGGGTCTGCCACGGAAAATTTCGCCTTGTCCCATACTTCCGCATTTTATCCATTTTTAGATTACCAAATTACGGTCGGAGAAGAATACACTAGAAATTAAACTTCAGGCTCTTACGGAAGAGAGGAATCAGGTGCTGGACGTTCTATCTGAGTGTAACCAACGCATTGTNNNTTACGGTCGGAGAAGAATACACTAGAAATTAAACTTCAGGCTCTTACGGAAGAGCGGAATCAGTTGCTGGACGTTCTATCTGAATGTACCCAACGCATTGGTGAAATGGAACAGGTTCAGCAAGAACAGATGGCTACCGTAAGTTGAGCACCAATAAAGCTCCCAATAAATGACATTCAACAGATAAACTCACAAGATAATGAAATAGCACACCTTCAACAGAGAGCAACCCTCCTTCAAGAACATATTCACAGCCTGTCAACACATCAAAATAGTCCACAAAGTCGAAGTTCCCCACTCCAAACCGTCCGGCCCCACCAATCACTTCTTGCAGAGCTAGCGGAACAACGACTCGAGCTTCTGAGTAATGCGGTAAGTTGAATGCAGTAATAATTAATAATGATAGTTAATAATTAGTAAATAATTATTAATAATAATCGCCCAGCTGGAATACCCTTTCGGGCTGCCAAGCCATAAGAAGGAAGCTTGATGGCAGAGGTACTACCAGTTGAGATCTTGGGGTTGTGTCCGAACCTTCCTGCCTATGAGTCCGCAATTTACTACTGAGTTACCTCGAGCTCAGTTTGAAAAAGCAAACATCACAGTTGCAAAATTATATCCCAGCCAAACCTTCTGTTACTTGGCTACCATACATGAACGAATTGATTAATTTTTCACTGCTTGCACATTATTTTCACACGTTAGGTAATTACTGCCCTTGATGACTTCCTCACAAACTCGATATTCGATCTGTTACGGAGATCTCGGTTTTCTGAAGCTCAGATCTTTCGTTCACGGAATCCCTGTTGGAAAATATCAAAAAAAATCTGTTATTCTAATTACGTGAAACGATCTTTTAGCACAACTGATAGTGCAGAACGTAGAAGCTCCCAAGTTTCGAAGTTGTTTCTTTTGTTTCGCCTCTCCTACCATCTTCGACGCAAATATTTTGCTTCAAGACATCCAGTACAGTACCTCAAACTCTAAAGAATATGATTGTGAGCCTCGTGCTCTGGAGTATGGCTTAGATGACTATCAGATCAGGACAGATGTAAGAAAAGGAGGTGGCTTTTAAGCACCCTATAAGTAGACTCCTTCCACTACTCGAAAACGATCCAGTTAGTTTTACCAATGAGCCGTAGGTTAAGTATTATCTACCTTCCAGTCTAGTGTGGTGTCATTGATCTGTTAATCTGTAGAAAGAGTAGATAACGTATCACTGATGATACGGGCAACAATTCAAAGTAATGATTTCCCGAGGAGAAACTTAAGATGATCTTTCTTGGGGCACATGGATTACTCCAAATCTCGAAATACTATATATATATATATATATATATAT